AGGCACAGTGGCTAAGGCCCATAATCCCAACACTTTGGGAGACTGAGGCAGGAGGATTGCTTGAGGCCAGGAGTTCAAGACCAGCCTGGGCAAAGTAGCAAGACCCTGTCTCTACAAAAATATATAAAAATCAGCCAGGTGTGATGGCATGTGCCTATAGTCCCAGATACTTGGGTGGCTGAGGCAGGAGGATTGCTTGAGCCTAGGAGGTTGAAGCTGCAGTGAGCCAAGATCGTGCATTGCACTCCAGACTGGGCAACAGAGTAAGACTGTCTCAAAAACAAAATGTTGCCTAGTATTTAGTATTCCACTGGATGGATGCACCATAACATACGTAATATCTTACTGCTGGATCTTTAGGTTGTTTCCAATCTTTTCAGAGTCATTAAATTTGATCATGTTACTCCTTTCATTAAAACCTTACTGGGCCAGGCATGTGGCTCACACCTGTAATCCCAGCACATTGGGAGGCCAAGGCAGGCAGATCACTTGAGGCCAGGAGCTCAAGATCAGCCTGGCCAACATGGTGAAACCCCATCTCTACTAAAAATATAAAAATTAGCCAGATGTGGTAGTGCATGTCTGTAATCCCAGCTACTCAGGAGGCCGAGGAACAAGAATCACTTGAACCTGGGAAGCAGAGGTTGCAGTGAGCCTATATTGCACCACTTTATTCCAGCCTGGGCAACAGGGCAAGACTCTGTATCAAAAACAAAACACAAAAAAACTTATCATGACTCCCTATTGTCTACAAGATAAAACCTAAACTCCTTAGCATGGCAGCAAGGGCCTCCATGATGTGACCTTTGTCTACTTAACCCAGCAGCACTATCTTTTGTCATTCTCTCTTCACCTCCCAGCCCTTCATATTAAAATAGTCATGCTCATACTTTGAACTCACCAACATGCCATGCTATTGCTTGAGTTGCTTCTGCTTCTTTTCCTTAGAATGCCCTCTCTCCAACTACCTGATAAATGTCAGCTTCAGCTTTCAACACTTAGCTCAAAATCATCTCCTTCATGAAGCCTTTCCTAACATCTCTCAGGTAGAACTGACTTTTCCTTCTCCCTGTCTACACTGTACCCTACACATGTATAGATCATAACCTTTAACTGCATTTTTTTTTTTTTTTTTTGAGATGGAGTCTTGCTCTGTCGCCCAGGCTGGAGTGCAGTGGCACCATCTCGGCTCACTGCAGGCTCCACTCCTGAGTTCACACCATTCTCCTGCCTCAGCCTCCCGAGTAGCTGGGACTACCGGCTGCTGGGACTACCGGCTCCCGCCACCACGCCCAGCTAATTTTTTGTATTTTTCGTAGAGACAGGGTTTCACCGTGTTAGCCAGGATGGTCTTGATCTCCTGACCTCGTGATCCACCCGCCTCGGCCTCCCAAAGTGCTGGGATTACAGGTGTGAGCCACCGTGCCCGGCTCCTGCAATTATTTTTATATATGTTTGTTTCCTACTAATCAGGGAATTACCTGTAGGGCCTCTCTTTATAACCCCAGTCCTATACATGATAGTATATAACAGGCATTCTATTAAATTTTCCTTAATAAACAAAGGGCTCCCCTCCCCCTCTACTGACTACTCTCACATTGGACCTATAAGCCCTACTGTTCCATTTGAGGAAACTAATTTTGCTGGCTGCAGCCCTTGGTCCCACCTTATTAGTTCTAACTGCAATCCCATTAAGTCCATCCTGATCCTTTAGCTCTAGCCTCTACTTCTACCAGCTGAGTCCTCTGGTTTGTTTCCCACCTTCCCATTCAAATTCATGTCCACTGTCCAGCTGCTCCGAGTCTGAAGGTGTCTCCAATTCGTCTACCTCCAGGTCAGAACTGCCATCAGGAGAGGAAGGCGTAGACTGGGTGGGCGAAGCTCCATCATTTCCAGGCCCCTTAGTCAGACTCAGCCGCAACTCTGGGGCAGAAAGACGCTTGCGCATGGGGCACTGGCCACACAGGGCTAAAGTGCTGGGGGTACCTGCAGTTGGAGAAAGGGGGAAAAAGAGAACCAAGATGGGTGTGTGCGTTGGAGGGCCGAGAGGGCTAGAATTCCTGTATGTGAAAGTGATAATATCGGTTGAACGCTGAAGAAGGACTGACGCAGGGGAGATTTGGGGAAGGGGAAATGGAACTGTAAAAGGATAGAGGTGGTATAGCCCTTTACTGGACTGGAATCAAGAACTTGAGGCCTGGTTTCTACTTGACCTACCTGCCTGTGAATCTCCTTTAGGGTCTCCAGGATCTTCAGAAGGGTCAACCTCCTCAGGAAGCAATCTAGAGGGGAAGAGATTAAAAGGCGGCAGAGATATACACCAAAGGCATCAAGCCAGGACTCAATATATAGGTTCTCTCTCCCCACCATGATTTTATCACCTATGCTTTCTTTTTTTTTAATTGTTTTTTGAGACAGGGTCTCACTGTGTTGCCCAGGCTGGAATGCAGTGTCATAATCATAGCTCACCGCAGCCTCTACCTCCAGAGCTCAAGCAATCCTCCCACCTCAGCCTCCCGAGTAGCTGGGACTACAGGTATGCACCACCACACCTGGCTAAATTTTATATTTTTGTAGAGATGGGGTTATGCCGGCCGGGCGCGGTGGCTCAAGCCTGTAATCCCAGCACTTTGGGAGGCCGAGACGGGCGGAACACGAGGTCAGGAGATCGAGACCATCCTGGCTAACACAGTGAAACCCCGTCTCTACTAAAAAATACAAAAAAATAGCCGGGCGAGGTGGCGGGCGCCTGTAGTCCCAGCTACTCGGGAGGCTGAGGCAGGAGAATGGCGCAAACCCGGGAGGCGGAGCTTGCAGTGAGCTGAGATCCAGCCACTGCACTCCAGCCTGGGCGACAGAGCCAGACTCCGTCTCAAAAAAAAAAAAAAAAAAGAGATGGGGTTATGCCATGTTGCTCAGAGAAGTCTTGAACTTCTGAGCTCAAGTGATCCACCTGCCTCGGCCACCCAAAGTGCTGGGATTACAGCCATGAGCTGCTGCGCCATCCCCTCCGTCCATTCGTGACCATCCCTCCCTTCTCCCAGCTGCCCTCACACATCCTCACCTAGGGAATTCTTCATCCTGCCATTCCTCCTTCAGCTCCAATTCCCCATGTCTCAGGGCTGCTTCTAGTTCTGGGGCTTCTGCAATCTCCCTGACCCTAAGACAGCCCCCCAAGAAGAAAAGATTAAGGGAATTGAATAGTAGGTAAGAATAACTGAAATGAAGAACAGTAATTGAGATACAGAGCAGAGGGCAGGCCTTCAAAAGAACTTAGATCTCTTGCCTCCTATACAGATGTTTCTCTTACCTTCACCACTTGCTAGAAGTAGATTACCTGCTTGTTGGGTTTGAGAGCAGAGGAAAGATGGAATGTAAAGTTAATCATATTTACCTCTATAGCAATTGCTCCACCTACGAAGTTGGTGTTAGAGATATCCCACATTACAATGGGCTGGAACCCAGCTAGACCCACCCAGCTATCACTGAGCGAAGTCAGGAAGACGGCACCTAGTCAGGCCTGCCTTTCCTCCACCCAGCTGGGGAGTGGCTAAGGGAAAACATGGCATAGGTGGAGGGGTGGAGGAAGAAGGTAAGGAGACAGATTTGCCACAACGAGAACCTGGACCTAAACTCAGTTCTGGTTCAGCTTTCCTAATGGCCATTCTGGAGGGTGAGGGTTAGAAAACAAAGAACACAGGCAGATTTATCAGATACAACATATTATAGAAACTTCCTTTATTTTTAAACCAGGGAATGATCCTGGAATCCCCTGTTCCCCAGATCCATACCATACTGACATTTCCTACCTACAACCACCCTCATCCCTTCTCTGCAAATTCTCTTACAGTCTTGTCTCCTTGAGGAACCCGAGATTTGACCCAGTAAGAGCTGGGTGGTGGGGAAGTCTCTCAGGACTATTTATTCCCTGTTACCAATCAAGTGAGCCAGGATCTTACTTACCCAACATCTGTCTTTTTTCCTGCCTCTTGTATAGTTCCCATCTTCACAAGTCTTCCTGCCTCCTTCTTTAAACACCTAGGAGTTGTTGGGGAGCTGGTTGTCCCAGCCCCCAACACTTCTTTACCTCTTTTCTGTCTCAGCTGTTGTAGTTCTTGCCTCCAAGGAGGGAGGTGTGGAGGGGAGGTAACCTCATCTTCAAACAGGTTTTGCCACCTCCTCTCCCCAGGAGCAGGTTTGCCCAAAAGAAAAACCCTGCCTCCTGTGAGGGGGCGGATTTTGGGGAGGAGAGTGCATTTTCTAGGGGGGCCAGTCTTGGGTGAGTCTAGGAAAGCAATTGTTCTCCTTTCCAGACGCCATGTATCCCTCTCAAAGTTGCTCTTTACACAAACAAGCAAAAAACCAGTAGGAACCGTTGTGTTTCTGGCTGGGTGTGGTGGCTCACGCCTGTAATCCCAACACTTCAGGAGGCTGAGGCGGGCGGATAACCTGAGGTCAGGAGTTTGAGACCAGCCTGACCAACATGGAGAAACCCCGTCTCTACTAGAAATTTAAAAAAAAAAAAAAAAATTATCCAGGCGTGGTGGCGCATGCCTGCAATCCCAGCTGCTCGGAAGGCTGAGGCAGGAGAATCACTTGAACCTGGGAGGCGGAGGTTGCAGTGGGCCGAGATTGCGCCATTGCACTGCAACCAGGGCAACAAGAGCAAAACTCCGTCTCAAAAAAAAAAGAAAAAAAAAGAAAAAGAAACCATTGTGTGTGTTTCTAAGATTATGTTATCTTGGGTCTACTTTTCAAGCATAAGGAAAACTGGGGAAACGGAAGCATGTTATAAGGAGGTTTCTGGGAGAATAAACAAGTTGAACGGGAGGCTGAGGATGAGGGGAGACAAAAGCCTGTTGCTCCTTATTCCCAAAAAGAGTCAACAGAAAGAAGACATTAAGTACAGTAGGAAGAAGGGAGATGAATTTTGAGGAGACTGAAACAATTATCAGAGAAAGGCCTGAATACACTTATAAAAAAAGACGGTAAGACCCCCAAACAGGAAAAAAGTATTTTTAATACTATAACAAAATGCAAAATAAAGTACCCAAGTTACAAAACATAAATTCCTTTGGTTCATAATCACACCACTATTTTTACCTTCCACATAGCTACAGACATCACACCCTCAAAGTGAAGTCAGACTGTCCCCCTCATACTGAAGATGTCATGCCAAAACCATCACATACCCCACTGTTCAGTGAAACTGTTGGCAGCTTACATGGAACAGAGCTGTAGGGTAGGAAAAAGGGGAAAGGGTTGGGTTAAAAAAAATGGGGAGACTCTACACATGCAGAACAAGTCAGTGAGAGGGAGCTCTCTGCTGGGTCAACACGTCATGAACCACACCCCTATTCATGCTACATGAGGCTGAGTCCTTGCTACAACCACAGAGAAATACAGACAATCGAGTGAACCTGAGCACCCCCAGGGATAACAGAAGAAAAATACAGAGAAGCAGAGGAGAGAAAGAATGGCAGCAAGAGGCAAATCACAGAATACCAGGGAACACCTAGTCCAAACCCTGTTTTACAGATGGGGAAAGTGAGACCTGGAGTAGTGAAGTGTCTTGCCAAAATACATAGTCTATGGGAGCATTAGAACTCCATGCTTCCTCTTAATATGAGCAAGGAGAAAAAGAGACTGACAAGAAATTGATAGGCCTGCTAAGGCAGGAGACAGACCCAGGCCTCTCATTCCAGTTATGCTGTCTTTTTGGAAGAGTGCCTGTGAGGTCATTAAGGCCTTTCTAGGTGGTTTCTTGATTCTCAAGAATCAGGGTTCTGGGTGGCTCTGGGACAGAAGGGTTCAAAGAAACAGCCAGGCCACCTGATCAGGACAGAAGACAATGGCCTCTAATCTTCTCCCAAACTAGATCTGAAACAGTCACAGTAAGCTCAGAATAGAAATTCAGCGATCTCTGAATCAAATGCCATCACCTAAATGGTGGCAAAAAGAAAAGTCATTGAGCTAGCAATCTGCTGTAGGGTGAACACTGGAATAAGTTTCCAAAGTGCACTCTCTTTTCTCTCTAGCTTGAGGCAGGTATTCAATAAATACTTGAATGAATAAGTGAATAAATGAATACATGGAGACCATCAATGAAAGTTCAGTTCCATGACAGATATTGGTTCTGTTCAAGATCCAAGCTGAGGACACTTTTGGGGACTACATTCTCTTTGTCCCACTGTGCTGGGACTGCAGATGTGTCACATCGCGCCCCTGGCAAATAAAATAGACAGAGGTGCAGATTTAAATAAAATTTGAGGCCGGGCGCGGTGGCTCAAGCCTGTAATCCCAGCACTTTGGGAGGCCGAGACGGGCGGATCACGAGGTCAGGAGATCGAGAGACGATCCCGGCTAACACGGTGAAACCCCGTCTCTACTAAAAAATACAAAAAAAATAGCCGGGCGAGGTGGCGGGCGCCTGTAGTCCCAGCTACTCGGGAGGCTGAGGCAGGAGAATGGCGTAAACCCGGGAGGCGGAGCTTGCAGTGAGCTGAGATCCGGCCACTGCACTCCAGCCTGGGTGACAGAGCAAGACTCCGTCTCAAAAAAAAAAAAAAATTTGATTGGTAGAGATTAGGGGGAAAAGGTGGAAAGCCATTCTTAAAGCAGCTGCTTTCACTTTTTTTCTCCTCTCAGTTTTATGAGAACAGTATACCAGATCCTGGAGCAATGAAGACAGAATTGCTGAATCTCCAAACATCTCAAAACATGCATTTGAAGTGAGTCAGGTAGCCTCACCCACTACCTCCTCCCTTCTCAACAGTCATTTCTTGGACAGGGAGGCTGTGGTAGACTGTGACAGTGAGATCTGACTGCACTTCTCAAAGACAGCCTCAGCGGAGAGTTTAGGCAGCCCCTGATCTAGAGGGCACTCATCCACCAAGCTGTTCATGGGCGTGGGGGGCAGCGGAGGGTCCTCCTCATCTTGACTCAGTCCAGAAATCAGGGAGTTACTTGCCCTGTCCAATTCCTTGTCCACCTGCTCCCTGGACACATCTGCTGTCTCAGGCTGTCCTGAAGGGATCTTCATGGAGTCAAAATACACTGACAGGGCTTCCTGGAGCAGGGGCAGAAGTTTCTTCCGAGAGACCTGGGTGTTGCCTTGAAGATAGGCATGGAGGTTAGGGTGGGTGCTTGAGGCAGGGGTCAGCTTCAGGGGTGGAGAGTGGGAGCATTCCAGGACTCCACAGATCTAAAGAGAAGACAATAACAGGGAAATGATACACAACTTGCTGTAGCAAAGTGCTGAGGCTTCTAAGTGAGAGGCTTCCTCTATAGAAGAGGAAGCTTTCAAAAAGTAAGTCGGCAGGGTGTGGTGGCTCATGCCTGTAATCCCAGCACTTTGGGAGGCCGAAGCGGGCGGATCACCTGAGGTCAGGAGTTTGAGACCAGCCTGACCATCATGGAGAAACCCCATCTCTACTAAAAATACAAAATTAGCTGGGTGTGGTGGCGCATGCCTGTAATCCCAGCTACTTGGGAGGCTGAGGCAGGAGAATCGCTTGAACCCAGGAGACAGAGGTTGCAGTGAGCCAAGATGGTGCCATTGCACTCCAGCCTGGGCAACAAGAGTGAAACTCCGTCTCAAAAAAATAAATAAATAAATAAAAGTAAGTTATCCTTGAGGCCAGGCACAATGGCTCCCGCCTGTAATCCCAGCACTTTGGGAGGCCAAGGTGGGCGGATCACCTGAGGTCAGGAATTCAAGACCAGCCTTGTCAACATGGTAAAACCCTGTCTCTACTAAAAATACAAAAATTAGCCAGACATGATGGTGCACACCTGTAATCCCAGCTACTTGCAAGGCTGAGACAGGAGAATCATTTGAACCTGGGAGGTGGAGGCTACAGTGAGCCGAGATCTCACCATTGCACTCCAGTCTGGGCAATAAAGCAAGACAAAAAAAAAGTAAGTTATCCAGGGTTCGGTTTTATTGTTTGCAACAGAAGGAACACTAATATACACAGTATTTTTTTTTTTTTGAGATGGAGTCTTGCTCTGTCACCCAGGCTGGAGTGCAGTGGTACGATCTCGGCTCACTACAACCTCTGCCTCCCTGGTTCAAGTGAATCGCCTGCCTTAGCCTCCTAAGTAGCTGGGATTATAGGCATGTGTCACCAAGCCTGGCTAATGTTTATATTTTTAGTGGAAACGAGGTTACACCATGTTACCCAGACTGGTCTCGAACTTCTGACCTCAGGTGATCCGCTCTCACCTAGGCCTCTCAAAGTGCTAGGATTACAGGTGTGAGCCACCGCGCCCAACCCACAGTATTTTATCATATATATATATATATGATAAAATATATCTCATATATATGATAAAATATATATATATAATAAAATATATATATATATATTTTTTTTTTAAATAGAACAGGGATGGGGTCTTGTTATGTTGCCCAGGCTGGTCTCCAAATCCTGGTCTCAAACAATCCTTCTGCTTCAGCCTCCCAAAGTGCTGGGATTCATACACAGTGTTTTATTTATTTTATTTTGCTTTAATTTTTTTTTTTTTGAGATGGATTCTTGCTCTGTCACCCAGGCTGGAGTACAGTGGCACAATCTTAGTTCACTGCAACCTTCGCCTCCCAGGTTCAAGCAATTCTCCTGCCTCTGCCTCCCGAGTAGCTGGGATTACAGGTGCCTGCCACCATGCCCAGCTAATTTTTGTATTTTTAGTAGAGACGTGGTTTCACCATATTGGCCAGACTGGTCTTGAACTCCTGAGCTCAGGTGATCTGCCCAGCTCAGCCTCCCAAAGTGCTGGGATTACAGGCATGAGCTACCATACCCAGCCATACACAGTACTTTAAAAACAGAGGAAACAGTTTAGATTGTATATTTCATTTTATTATTAAAGTAACTAAAGCTAAGTAAGATGATTATGAGTAAAATCATGTAGATGATGGCAGTTAAACCAGAATCCAGGAACCCCAGCTTCTAATCTAGTGTTGTTTCCAAGTGTATAAATGTGCTCAAGAACTTGAACTAGGATGGGACTAGAATTTATCTAGAGGCCAGAAGAGGGATGGAGGAAGAATGAATTGAACAAAATAAGATTGGTATCACTATTACCCTCACTTACATGCAGGGAAACTGAGAATTCGATGATCAGGTAACTTGCCTAAGGTCATAATTTGCATGAAGCGAAACTGACACTAAGCCCAGAGCTGTCACCAAAGCCAGTGTTCTAAATCAATATATTATACTATCCCTAACACAGGAGAAAGAGAGGAGATGGTAGAGTAGACTGTGAGAAAAGGACTCTTGGCTGGGCATAGTGGCCCACACCTGCAGTTCCAGAACTTTGGGAAGCTGAGGCTGGTGGATCACTTGAGTCCAGGAGTTCGAGACCAGCCTGAGCAATGTAGCGAGACTCTGTCCCTACAAAAAATACAAAAAAAATTAGCTGGCCATGATGGTGTGCCTGGAGCCCCAGCTACTTAGGAAGCTGGGAGGATTGCCTGAACCAGGGAGGCAGAGGTTGCAGTAAGCTGAGATCATGCCATTGCACCACTCCAGCCTGGGCAACAAAGCAAGACATCTCAAAAAAAAAAAAAAAAGAGAGAGAAAAGGACTCCTGTTTCTAAGCATAGGGGCAGCCTGGACAATGGTAGAGTCATTAGAAATCCACACAGCTGGCCGGGCGCGGTGGCTCAAGCCTGTAATCCCAGCACTTTCAGAGGCTGAGGCGGGTGGATCACGAGGTCAGGAGATCGAGACCATCCTGGCTAACACGGTGAAACCCTGTCTCTACTAAAACTACAAAAAATTAGTAGGGCGTGGTGGCGGGTGCCTGTAGTCCCAGCTACTCGGGAGGCCGAGGCAGAAGAATGGCGTGAACCCGGGAGGCGGAGCTTGCAGTGAGCCGAGATCGCACCACTGTTCTCCAGTCTGGGAGACACAGCGAGACTCTGTTTCGAAAAAAAAAAAAAAAAAAGAAATCCACACAGCTTCGAATGAGCAGCACAGAGGGGAGAAGATTCAGGAATGTGGAAGAGGTACTTCTAATGGCCAAAGCACCCTTTTCTTCATGAAAGGATTAGTAAGAGCCACTATTTACAAAGTGCTTACTCTGCTCCAGAAGTGTGCTTTACACATGATATTATGTTTAATGATCATAGTAGAATTAGCAGTAGGTACTATTATGCCATTTCCAGATGCAGAAGTCAAAGAGTAAGACTTGCCTTAGCTCAAAGAGTAAGAGGCAAATCTAGAACAGAAAAACGCATCTACCTGACTTTAAAAACTGCAGTTCTTGGCCAGGTGCAGTGGCTCACGCTTGTAATTCCAGCACTTTGGAAGGCCAAGGCAGGCGGATCACTTGAGGTCAGGAGTTCGAGACCAGCCTGGCTAACATGGTGAAACCCCGTCTCTACTAAAAATACAAAAATTAGTCGGGCATGGTAGCGGGCGCCTGTAGTCCCAGCTGCAGGCTGAGGTGGGAGAACTGCCTGAACCTGGGAGGTGGCAGTTGCAGTGAGCCAAGATCACACCACTGTACTCAAGCCTGGGCAACAGAGTGAGACTCTGACTCAAAAAACAAACAAAACTGTAGTTCTTTTCATAATGACAAACCACCTTACACTGAATGAAATCAGATTTGCTTCCTGGGGAGAAGGCAAAGGCAAAGGCAAAGGCAAAGGGAGGTGGGAAAGGGCAGACATACCTTCTATGAGAGCAAAGGATTATCTGGCTGTATTCTGTCTTTAGCAGTCCTCACAGAGCCTAGGCCACCCTCAGAATCCCTGAATTGCCTTAAGCCCACCTTTTTTTTTTTTTTTTTTGAGACAGAGTCTCTCTCTGTTGGCAGGATGGAGTGCAGTGGCGTGATCTCGGCTCACTGCAACCTCTGCCTCCTAGGTTCAAGAGATTCTCCTGCCTCAGCCTCCTGAGTAGCTGGGACTATAGGCACGTACCACCACTCCCAGCTAATTTTGTATTTTTTAGAAGAGATGAGGTTTCACCATGTTGGCCAGGATGGTCTCAATCTCTTGATCTCATGATCTGCTCGCCTCAGCCTCCCAAAGTGCTGGGATTATAGGCATGAGCCACCATGCCCAGCCTTAAGTCCACTTTTAAATTCTTCCCTAGGCTAATCAGTAACCAGCAGAGGAACAGAAAGGAGAGGAAGTAGGAAAGATAGCCAAAAGGAAGATCAGGAAAGAAAACAAATCTGGATCTAGATCACTTCATTACAGAGTTTGCACGATACAGAATAATTAATCCCTGCATAGTAAGTAGCAGAAAAGGTCTCTCATATTTCTAATTTTCAAAGCAACAGCGTGATTCCAGGGGTGAGGAATTAATGATTAAACCAAGAATAGAGTTTTGTTTTGTTTTTTTTTCCCCCAATAGAGATGAGGTCTTGCTATCTTTGCCCAGGCTGGACTCAAACTTTCCAGCTCAAGCAATCCTTCCGCATCAGCCTCCCGAGTTGCTGGGACTACAGGCATGTGCCACGGTCCCTAGCTCAAGAAGGGAATTTTAACTACAGATTTGTAACATTTCCTTCTAACTAGATTTCTTTCAAGTTCTTTCAAAGTATGAATTGAATCTTTAGTTCTTTTTGGAATTCACCTTTTCTCAACAATGCTATGATTAAGGATGTTCACTAAAAAAAAAAAAAAAAAAGAACGAAAAAAAAAGGATATTCATATACAGAGAGAATGGGAAAAAGCAGAAAGGGGAGGAAACAGGTCCAGAAACAGGTCAAGGGACCTCGTGTAAGTATGTTAATATAAGAACCTAAGAGAGGTCCTTATAGGACAGCTGTAGAGCACAGAGGTACATACAGGTGGACTCTGTAAGGCTCTTAGGTTGGAGAAGGGACACAGACTCACCGTTGTTCGGAGTGCCACATGGGGACAGAAAATAGCCAACTGCCGCACTGGCTCATTGTGAGTGTTGAAAAAGATAGTCATGGCGACCAGGACATCGTAGCTGTGAGCCTGGCAGAAAGCATGGAGATCTGCAAGGAGGTTAGACCTCTCCAGAAAGGCCTGAAAGGGAAGAAACGGAGAGGGATGAAGGACTTTCTCATCATCATCAATAAAACATCCTTGGGCTAGGCACGGTCACTCATGCCCGTAATCCCCGCACTTTGGGAGGCCAAGGGGGGCGGATCACCTGAGGTCAGGAGTTTGAGACCAGTCTGACCAACATGGAGAAATCCCATCTCTGCTAAAAATATAAAATTAGCCGTGCGTGGTGGCGCATGCATGTAATCCCAGCTACTTGGGAGGCTGAGGCAGGAGAATCGCTTGAATTCGAGAGGCGGAGGTTGCAGTGATTCCAGATCGCACCATTGCACTCCAGCCTGGGCAGCAAGAGCGAAACTCTGTCTCAAACAAACAAACAAAAACAAAAAAAATGCTGATAATGTATGTAATGTGCCTAGCGTGTTCAAGGCTCTCCGGTTCTTGCAATCAAACAAGGAAAGTCTTTGCCTTGTGGGTATTTTTTTTTTTTTTGAGACGGAGTTTTGCTCTTGTTGCCCAGGCTGGAATGCAATGGCGCGATCTTGGCTCACTGAAACCTCCTCCTCCCGGGTTCAAGTGATTCTCCTGCCTCAGCCTCTCGAGTAGCTGGGATGACAGGCATGTGCCATCATGCCTGGCTAATTTTTTATTAGTAGAGACAGGGTTTCTCCATGTTGGTCAGGCTGATCTCAAACTCCCGACCTCAGGGGATCTGCCTGCCTTGGCCTCCCAAAGTGCTGGGATTACAGGTGTGAGCCACCGCACCCAGCCCGCCTTGTGGGTATTTTTATTCTAAAACAGAATAATGGGGTATACAAATAAGAGCAGACATGTGAAAACTGCTTTTCTCTATCCTTGTCATTTCTTGTTTTTTTGTTTGTTTGTTTGTTTGTTTGTTTTTAAGCCTTGGCATTTCTTCCTTTCTTTTTTCTTTGTTTCTTTTTTGAGATGTCTCATTCTGTCGCCCAGGCTGGAGTGCAGTGGTGTGATCTTGGCTTACTGCAACCTCCACCTCCTGGGTCCAAGCGATTTTCCTGCCTCAGCCTTCCAAGTAGCTGGGATTACAGGTGCCCACTACCATGCCTGGCTAATTTTTGTACTTTTAGTAGAGACGGGGTTTCACCATGTTGACCAGGCTAGTCTCGAACTCCTGACCTCAGGTGATCCACCTGCCTTGGCCTCCCAAAGTGCTGGGATTACAGGCATGAGCCACTGCACCCGGCCAATCTTTGGCATTTCTAATATGTCAGTTTGTATTTGATTAAGGTACTAGGCAAGCCTTTTATGTTTTCGTTTGTTTCTCGAACTAGGTTACGAACCATGAGAGAAGAGACCATGCTATCGTGTTTTATTTATTTAGTATTTTTACACAGTACTTAGTAGAAACCTGTGTAGGAGAATGGCGCGAACCCGGGAAGCAGAGCTTGCAGTGAGCCGAGATGGTGCCACTGCACTCCAGCCTGGGCGACAGAGTGAAGACTCCGCCTCAAAAAAAAAAAAAAAAAGAAAGCTGTGTAAAGTATGTATTCAGATCAGATGAATTATTTTATTTATTTATTTTATTTATTTTTTGAGGCGGAGTCTCGCTCTGTCGCCCAGGCTGGAGTGCAGTGGCCGGATCTCAGCTCACTGCAAGCTCCGCCTCCCGGGTTTACGCCATTCTCCTGCCTCAGCCTCCCGAGTAGCTGGGACTACAGACGCCCGCCACCTCGCCCGGCTAGTTTTTTGTATTTTTTAGTAGAGACGGTGTTTCACCGTGTTAGCCAGGATGGTCTCAATCTCCGGACCTCGTGATCCGCCCGTCTCGGCCTCCCAAAGTGCTGGGATTACAGGCTTGAGCCACCGCGCCCGGCCTATTTATTATTTTTTTTGAGATAGAGTCTCGCTCTGTCACCCAGGCTGGAGTGCCGCGGAGCGACCTTGGCTCCCTGCAGTCTCTGCCTCCTGGGTTCAAGCGATTATTGTGCCTCGGCATCCTGAGTAGCTGGGACTATAGGTGCCCACCACTGTATCCAATTAATTTTTTTTTTTTTTTTTTGTATTTTTAGCAGGGACAGGGTTTCCCCATGTTGGCCAGGCTGGTCTTGAATTTCTGACTTCAAGTGATCCACCTGCCTCTGCCTTCCAAGTGCTGGGATTTACAGGCGTGAACCACCACGCCCAGCCAGATGAATGATTTAAACCACTATGACATGGAACCAGGTATTCAGACACCATTATTATTATTTTTGGTTTCCATATACAGCATTTAATTGAACACTATTATTAAAGTTATATTCATTGATACATTCAACAAAGTTTACTGAGCATCCGCTATGTGTCAGACACTGTTAAAGGTCCTAGAGCTACAACAGACAAAAAAGAAACAGGGTCCTGGTAGAGTTGATAAACTAGCAGAGGAATATAGACAATTAACAGGCAAACCAGGAAACAAGATCCTTTTAGTATGTTAAGTGCTTTGAAAAACAAACAGGCCGGGTGTGGTGGCTCAGGCCTGTAATCTCAGCACTTTGAGAGGCCAAAGCGGGCAGATCACTTGAGGTCAGGAGTTCAAGACCAGCCTGGCCAACATGGTGAAACCCCTGTCTCTATTAAAAATACAAAAATGGCCGGGCGCAGTGGCTCACACCTATAATCCCAGTACTTTGGGAGGCCGAGGCGGGTGGATCACTCGAGGTCAGGAGTTCGAGACCAGCCTAGCCAACATGGTGAAACCCTGTGTCTAGTAAAAACACAAAAATTAACTGGGCATGGGGATGTGTGCCTGTAATCCCAGCTACTCAGGAGGCTGAGGCAGGAGAATCACTTGAACCAGGGAGGCAGAAGTTGCAGTGAGCTGAGATAGCACCATTGCACTGCAGCCTGGGGGACAAGAGCGAAACTCCTTCTCAAAAAAGAAAAAACGAAAACAAAACAAAAAATTAGCTGGGCATGCTGGCACGCACCAGTAATCCCAGCTACTAGAGAGGCTGAGGCAAGAGAATTACTTGAACCCGGGAGGCAGAGGCTGCAGTGAGCTGAGATTTCGCCACTCCACTCCAGCCTGGGCAACAGAGTAAGGCTCAAAACAAACAAACATAACTGCTAGAGGTTTTTTGAGCATAGGAGATAGTACTTCAGTTAGGGTGGTCAGGAAAAACCTCCCAAAACAACAGACATCTGAGCTGAGACATCTGAATGTTAAGAAGAGCCATCTCTACAAAGAGAAAAGCTCATCTGGGAATGAGCTTAATGGTTCCGAGGAACAGAAAAGAAACCAGTGTGCCTGTAGTACTGTAGCGCAGGAGTGGAGCCGGAATGAAATGAGGCCAGGGAAAAAGACAATGGCCAGATCAAGCATGGCCCTGTAAACCATGGTAAGTCCTTTAGATTTTATTAAAAGTACAATGAGGCCGGGCACGGTGGCTCACGCCTGTAATCCCAGAACTTCGGAGGCCAAGGTGGGAGAACTGCTTGAGGCCTGGAGTTTGAGACCAGCCTGGGCAACATAGTGAGACCCTGTCTACACATACACACACACACACACACACACACACACACTAGCTAGGTGTGGTGGTGTGCACCTGTGGACCCAGCTACTCGGGAGGCTAAGGTGAGAGGACTGCTTGAGCCTGGAAGGTTGAGGCTGCAGTGAGCCATGATGGTACCACTGCACTCTAGCCTGAGCAACAAAGCATGACTCTCAAAAAAAAAAAAAATTTTTAAAAAGACCACTCTGGCTGCTTTGGGGAGAATGGTTTGTAGGGCTGCAAAAGCAGAGGCAGGGAAACCAGCACTGAGGCTAGTACAGTGGTGCAGTGAGAGATGCTGGACTCTGGTGGTCATAGTGGAGGTGGAGACAAGAAGATAGACACAAAATACGTTTTGGAGGTGAGCCAGGAATGAGGTGCAAGGCCACATGCATAACATGCATAGCTAAAGGCTTTCTCTCCCCACCCACAGTCACAACTTACTCTTACCTCCAAATCCATATATACTGCACTAATGGCCACCTTGACGCCTTGTCTATAGATAGTCTTCTGGTCCTTTCTCAGCATCTGCTCAGTGGTCAGTCCTAGAAAGCAGATGTGAGACTAGGGGTCAAACAGGGGAGGTCAGGTTCCCAAGACCAAGAAGGCAAGGGCAGCCAGATGGGTCAAGAAAGGAAAAATAGCCTCTCTTTGGGGCAATGAATGGGGGAGACAATTGAAAATGTAATCATAGCTGGGTGCAGTGGCTCAGGCCTGTAATCCCAGCAATTTGGCAGGCTGAGGTGGGCAGATCACCTGAGATCGGGAGTTCGGGACCAGCCTGGCCAACATGGTGAAACTCTGTCTGTACTAAAAATACAAAGAATTAGCTGGGTGTAGTGGCGGGCGCCTGTAATCCCAGCTACTCAGGAGGGTGAGGCAGGAGAATCACTTGAACCTGGACTCCATCTCAAAAAAAAAAAGAAAAACAGAAAATGTAATCACATAATCAAAAGCCATCTTAAATAATTGGTGACAATAGGTACCTTTACAGCAAGGAACTTTGGAGAGAAGAATAAAACCCAGCACAGAGGCTTTTACTTTGTATTTTCCCTCTTCCTATACTGTTTATATACGAGTTCTTTCTTTCATTTTTCCTTTTCATGTCAACAGGTGGTAGATAAGTAGAAGAATATGTTTTTTTTTTTTGGTTCTCTTCGTCTTTTGTATACTCACAAAATATTTCTTTAGCCTCCCTAACCAATGCTATAGATTTCACTCTGATAATTTAGTATACTCTCAGCATATTTTATATATATGTCCTATATTCTCTGAATAGACTAGAACCTATGAGGCTCTTTTTGTTTTTCTTGAGACGGAGTTTTGCTCTTGTTGCCCAAGCTGGAGTGCAATGGCACGATCTCGGCTCACTGCAACCTTCGCTTCCCGGGTTCAAGCGATTTTCCTGCCTCAGCCTCCCAAGTAGATGGGATTACAGGCACACACCATCATGCCTGGCTAATTTTTCGTATTTTTAGTAGAAACAGTGTTTCACCATGTTAGCCAGGCTGGTCTTGAACTCCTGACCTCAAGTGATCTGCCCACCTCGGCCTCCCAAAGTGCTGGAATTGCAGGCGTGAGCCACTGCGCCCAGCCCTTGTGAGGCTCTTAATACCTTCCTCCTCATCCTAACCAAGAGCCAGGATAGAACAATCCAGTAAATGATTGATTAGTTCATGCTTAGGCTAATATGCTACTTCATTTCTCTCTGGCATAAAATTTAAATAATTGGCCAGGCATGGTGGCTCATGCCTGTAATCCCAGCACTTTGGGAGGCCCAGGTGGGCAGATCATCTGAACTCAAGAGTTCGAGACCAGCCTGGTCAACATGGTGAAATCCGATCTCTACTAAAAATACAAAAATTAGCTGGGTGTGGTGGTGGGCGCCTGTAATCCCAGCTACTCGGGAGGCTGAGGCAGGAGAATCGCTTGAACCCAGGAGGTGGAAGTTGCAGTGAGCCGAGATTGTGCCACTGCACTCCAGCCTGGGTGACAGAGCAAGACTGTCTCAAAAAAAAATAAAAATAATGGCTGCATGCGGTGGCTAACGCCTGTAATCCCAGCACTTTGGGAGGCCGAGGTGGGCGGATCATGAAGTCAGGAGATCAAAACCATCTTGGCTAACACAGTGAAACCACATATCTACTAAAAATACAAAAAATTAGCCGGGCGTGGTGGCAGGCGCCTGTAGTCCCAGCTACTTGGAAGGCTGAGGCAGGAGAATGGCGTGAACCTGGGAGGTGGAGCTTGCAGTGAGCCAAGATCGCGCCACTATACTCCAGCCTGGGCGACAGAGTGAGACTCCATCTCAAAAAAAAATAAAAATAGGCCGGGCGCGGTGGCTCAAGCCTGTAATCCCAGCACTTTGGGAGGCCAAGACGGGTGGATCACGAGGTCAGGAGATCAAGACCATCCTGGCTGACACAGTGAAACCCCGTCTCTACTAAAAAAATACAAAAAAACTAGCCGGGCGAGGTGGCGGGTGCCTGTAGTCCCAGCTACTCGGGAGGCTGAGGCAGGAGAATGGCGTGAGCCCGGGAGGCGGAGCTTGCAGTGAGCCAAGATCACGCCACTGCACTCCAGCCTGGGCGGCAGAGCGAGACTCTGTCTCAAAAAAAAAAAAAAAAAATATATATATATATATATATAATAAACAAGGCTTGCCTTTCTGTTTTCTCATCTGGGAGGTAGAAAAGTCAGCTAACATTTCATACCTGATACATCAAACTTTGCCTTTTGTAGGGAATCAAATATATCATTTCTCTTGGGTAGGTCTGGGAAAAGGGCTTCTAGTTTCTCCACATATTTGCTGTCCTTTGGGGTTGCCTTTCCAATTTTAAGGTCCATGTTGACACAGTCCAGGATGATGGTTCCTGTGGAGAAGGGAGATGGTGGAACTTGAATCCTGTGACCCTCCACACATGACCACCAGAACATATATAACCTTCACACCAAATGGACACAATACAAGGAGATTTGTATAGCAAAATCTCTAAAAGCAAAATGAGAAACTGGGATGGACTGTGTCCTCAGACCTCCCAAATCCAAACTAAGATGTAGGAAGGGAAATGGGAAAAAGGTAGAAAGAAAGCCTGAGCATCTCAATCCTTGGAGATTTTACAGCCTAGTCAGACAGAGATACACCTCTTTAGTAGGCCAAATCCCAGCAAAGAATCTTCTAAGTTGAAAAGACAGTCTAGTCCAACTCACTCTCTCTCTTTTTTTCACAAGTGAAAAAACGAGAACAAGAAAGGTTAAGAGACCTGTTCAAGGTCACCCCTCTCTTTCCTGGAGGAACTGGTATTGGAATCTGTTTCCTGCTTTTTTGGCTAGTCCTCCTTCTATCATAAAATGATGCCAACAGGAAGCTTCTTGGTCTGTTGCCCTGTACTTCCTTTCTACTTTCTCCAACAAGTATCCCACAGGCCTTTAAACAGATACTTAATTGTCCGCCGAAAGAATCCTATCTTTTGGTATGAGCTGAATGGGTCTGAGAGCATATGGTTAGGCTGGAAGTGTCTAGACTTTTCCACCCTCCCTTCTCAGGGATAGGAATAGAACTACTCGGGTCCCAATCCAAAAGCCACCCTTACCATGCAGAAGGGCTGCAGTTTGCCTGTCCAAGATCTCTGGTGCCCCCTGCAGGATTCTCTCAGTCACCAGGGTAGCGCAGGACCCCACCAGCTCAACTGAAACATGGCAGGGAGGGCAGTGTTTCTGCTCGATGGGTCGATGGTCTAGCACCTCTGCTACTGCCTCCTCTAGGGCTGTGTCACTTCTGTGGAGGGGAGGGTATGGGAAAAGAGAAAGAAAGATAGGTAGGTAGGGACACTCCAGCTGCTTCTAGCCAACCTCTATGCCACCCATCAAGGAAAATGCAGATGTCTTAGGCAAGCTTATTTATTTATTTTTTTGAGACAGTTTCACTCTTGTCGCCCATGCTAGAGTGCAATGGTGCATTCTTGGCTCACTGCAACCTCTGCATCTCGGGTTCAAGCGATTCTCTTGCCTCAGCCTCCTGAGTAGCTGGGATTACAGGCGCCTGCCAACACGCCCAGCTAATTTTTTTGTATTTTGAGTAGAGACGGGGTTTCATCATGTTGGCAAGGCTGGTCTCGAACTCCTGACCTCATGTGATCTGCCAGGCAAGCATTTAAAACTGACCTTTGGTCATTTTTACCTCTGCCTCACTCCTCTCAATTCTTTTTCTTTTTTGTTGAGATGGAGTCTCACTCTGTTGCCCAGGCTGGAGTGCAGTGGCACGATCTTGGCTTCTGCAACCTCCGCTGCCCGGGTTCAAGTGATTCTCCTGCCTCAGCCTCCTGGGTAACCGGGATTACAGGCGCACGCCACCAAGCCTGGCTAATTTTTTTTTTTTTTTTTTGTATTTTTAGTAGAGATGGGGTTTCACCGTGTTGGTCAGGCTGGTCTCAAACTCCTGACCTCGTGATCTGCCCGCCTTGGCCTCCCAAAGTGCTGGGATTACAGGCATGAGCCACGGCGCCCGGCAATTCTTTTTTTCAATGTTATAATTGGCGTCATCTTTAAATAGTGTATAAGCAAATTCTGTGAAGCATCTGCTGCAAATATCTTACCCCCACATTTGCTGTCCTTTAGCTTTGCCTTTCCAACCCTTCACCCTTGACACCCTTGATACCCGACATCTAAATCTCTCCTTTTTTTTTTTTTTTTGAGACAGAGTCTTGCTCTGTCACCCAGGCTGGAGTGCAGTGGTGAGATCTCGGCTCATTGCAACCTCCGCCTCCCAGGTTCAAGCAATTCTCCTGCCTTGGCCTCCCAAGTAGCCGGGAGTACAGGCGCCCACCACCAGGCCCGGCTAATTTTTGTATTTTTAGTAGAGACGGTGTTTCACCATATTGGCCAGGCTGGTCTCGAACTCCTGACCTTGTGATCCGCCCACCTCAGCCTCCCAAAGTGCTGGGATTACAGTCATGAGCCACCGTGCCCGGCAAATCTCTCCTATTTTTATAACCCACTCAATACTTAGATTCCATGTGGGTCACCAGGTCCTGCTAATTCTATCTTAATTCCTATCCATGCCCTAGTTTCTGACTCTCCATTACTGCCCATTCTAGGCCCTCAACATCTCTCGTCTGGACTATTCCAATAGTCTCTTAACCAATCACCGGCTTCTAACCAAGAGCCCTCCTGGGCTGTCCTTCACAAAGTGGCCTGAAAGACCATTTGAAAAAAGAAAATCTGATTCTTTTAGGACACAGAATATAATTTAAAATAGTTCCCCACTGCCTAAAATAAAATCCAATCTCCTTAGAAGGGCCTATGAGGCCTCCATAATCTGCCTCCTGCCTGCCCCTCTGTCTCATCTTTTTCCATGTCCTACTTCTCCCTCAAATTTTATGCTCCAGCTGTGCAAAACAAATTCCATTTCCCCTAGCTCACCATGCTATTTCACACCTGCCTGCATTTAATTCTATTAATTACTCCCTCTGCCTGGAATGCCTTTCCTAACCACCTTCCCTCCTCCCTCCCAATTCACCAAGCAAACACCTAGTCCTCTTTCAAGACTGAGATCAGTGCTCACTTCAGCAGCACATGTGCTAAAACTGGAACGATATAGAGAAGATTAGCATGGTCCTTGAGCAACGATGACACGCACATTTGTGAATTTTTCCATAAAATATATGTGTGTGTGTGTGTGTGTGTGTGTGTGTGTATAAAAATAAAAAATAAAGGCCAGGTGCGGTGGCTCACGCCTGTAATCCCAGCACTTTGGGAGGCTGATGCGGGTGGATCACGAGGTCAGGAGATGGAGACCATCCTGGCTAACATGGTGAAACCCCATCTCTACTAAAAATACAAAAATTAGCCAGGTATGGTGGCGGGAGCGCCTGTAGTCCTAGCTACTCAGGAGGCTGAGGCAGGAGAATGGTGTGAACCCGGGAGGTGGAACTTGCAGTGAGCCAAGACTGTGTCACTGCACTCCAGCCTGGGCGACAGAGCGAGACTACGTCTCTTAAAAAAAAAAAAAAAATTGGCCAGGCCAGGCATGGTGGCTCACGCCTGTAATCCCAGCACTTTGGAAGGCTGAGGCAGGCGGATCACTTGTGGCCAGGAGTTCGAGACCAGCCTTGCCAACACGGTGAAACCCTGTCTCTACTAAAAATACAAAAAATTAGCTGGACGTGGTGGCACATGCTTGTAATCCCAGCTACTTGGGAGGTTGAGGCAGGAGAATCACTTGAATCTGGGAGGCTCACTGCAGTGGCTGAGATGGCGCCACTGCACTCCAGCCTGGGCAACAAGAAGAAAACTCAGGTTCAAAAAAAAAAAAAAAAGCCAGGAATGATGCTTTTACACAGGAGGCTGAGGCAGGAGGATTCCTTGAACCTTGGAGCTCAAGGTTATGATGATGCCGCTGCACTCCAGCCTATGAGACAGAGCGAGAGACCCACCATCTCTTAAAAAAAAAAAAAAAGTGGTGGCACAGTGGCTCACGCCTGTAATCCCAGCACTTTGGGAGTCCTAGGGTGGATGGATCACCTGAGGTCAGGAGTTCAAGACCAGTCTGACCAACATGGTGAAACCCCCTTCTCTCCTAAAAATACAAAATTAGCCGGGCATGGTGGCACATGCCTGTAATCCCAGCTACTTGGAGGCTGAGGCAGGAGAATTGCTTGAACCCAGGAGGCGGAGGTTGCAGTGAGCCGAGATGGTGCCGTTGCTCTCCAGTCTAGGCAACAGCAAAACTCCGTCTCGAAAAAAAAAGAAAAAAAAGGAAAGTTTATTACTGAATGAATCCATAGATGGATAATGCTCTCTCAGGCTGCCTTCTGTCAGTATCCTGCTATAACCACAATGTGCTCAAGAAAAGAATATTAGCAGGAGCCAAACAGACTTAGGAAAGTCACATACTCGTGTTGCTTTTTTGGTCGTTTTTTTCCAGTAGTAAATTAGGGATGGAATTATTATAAATGTGTACATTTGTTAAATAGACATTATTATTTATAGAATTTAAAAAAAAATTTTTTTGAGATGGAGTTTCATTCTTGTTGCACAGGCTGGAGTGCAATGGCATGATCTTGGCTCACTGCAACCTCTGGCTTCCGGGTTCAAGCAATTCTCCTGCCTCAGCCCCCTGAGTAGCTGGGGCTACAGGCACGCGCCACCACGTCCGGCTAATTTTGAATTTTTAGTACAGACGGGGTTTTTCTATGTTGGTCAGGCTGGTCTTGAACTCCTGACCTCAGGTGATTCTGCCCGCCTCAGGCTCCCAAAGTGCTGGGATTACAGGTGTGAGCCACCACGGCCGGCCTGGCTAATTTTTTTTTTTTTTTTTGAGACAGAACATTGCTCTGTCGCTCAGGCTGGAGTGCAGTGGTGTGATCTTGGCTCACTGCAACCTCCGCCTCCCAGGTTCAAGCGATTCTCCTGCCTCAGCCTCCCGAGCAGCTGGGACTACAGGCACGAGCCACCAAGACCAGCTATTGTTTTTTAAAGACGGAGTCTCACGTCTCACTCTGTCGCCCAGGCTGGAGTGCAGTGGCACGATCTCAGCTCACTGCAAGCTCCGCCTCCCGTATTCACGCCATTTTCCTGCCTTAGCCTCCGGAGTATTTGGGACTATGGGCGCCCACCACCACGCCTGGCTAATTTTTTGTATTTTTTAGTAGAGACGGGGTTTCACCATGTTAGCCAGATGGTCTTGATCTCCTGACCTCGTGATCCACCCGCCTCAGCCTTCCAAAGTGCTGCGATTACAGGCGTGAGCCACCATGCCTCGCCTGAGATATTTATATATTCTAATAATACATTATTCTAAAATCATGAGTTTATGTAGAAAAACTTTTGCTAACTTTTTGTGTGCTTTTTATTTTTATTTTAATTTTTTTGTAGAGATAGGATCTCACCATCTTGCCCAAGTTGGTCTTGAACTCCTGGGCTCAAGCAACCCTCCTACTTCATCCTCCCAAAGTGCTGCGTTTACAGGTGTGAGCCACCACACCTGGCCCTTTTGATAACTTAAAAAAATTTCTTTTGGAGACAAAGTCTTGCCCTGTCACTCAGGCTGGAGTACAGTGATGTGATCATAGCTTACTGCAGCCTTGATTCCTGGGCTCAAGTGATCCTACCACCTCTGCCTCCTAAGTAGCTGGGACTATAGGCATGCACTATTGCACCTGGCAAATTTTTTTATTTTTAGTAGAGACAAGGTCACACTATGTTTATGGATTTTTTTATTCATTTTTTTTTTTTAGAGAACAGGGTCTCGCTATATTGGTCAGACAGGTCTCCCTAAGTGCTGGGATTACAGGCGTGAGCCAGCATACCAGGCCACTTTTTAAAAATTAAAAATAGGCCAGGCATTGTGGCTCACACCTGTAATCCCGCCACTTTGGGAGGCCAAAGCGGGCGGATCATCTGAGGTCAGGAGTTCCAGGCCAGCCTGGCCAACAGCGCAAAACCCCATCTCTAGTAAAAAATACAAAAATTAGCTGGGCATGGTGGCACGCACCTGTAATCCCAGCTACTTCGGAGGCTGAGGCAGGGAGAATAGCTTGAACCCGGGAGGCAGAGGTTGCAGTGAGCCAAGATCACATCACTGCACTTCAGCCTGGGTGACAGAGCGAGACTCCATCTCAAAAAAATTAATTAATTAAAATTAAAATTAAAAATAGAGTTGCAGGCCAGGTGTGGTGGCTCACACCTATAATCCAGCACTTAGGGAGGCAGAGGCAGGAAGATAGCGTGAGCCTAGGAATTTAAGAGCCGCCTGGGCAATATAGCAAAACCCTGTCCTCTAAAAAATTTTAGTAAGTACAAAAACAAATAATAAGTAAAAAAAAGAAAAAAAGAAAATTGCAAACATGTTTCAAAGGTTTCTATTACAATAAATCTGTTTCAGAATCTTTTTTTTTTGGAAACAGGGTCTCTCTCTGTCTCCCAGGCTGGAGTGGAGTGGTGTGATCTTGGCTCACTGCAGGTTTGACATCCTGGGCTCAAGTGATTCTCCCACCTCAACCTCTTGAGTAGCCTCCCGAGTAGCTGGGACCATAGGCATGCACCGCCTAATTTTTAAAATTTTTTTGTAAAGACACGCTTTTGCCATGTTGCTCAGGCTGGTCTTGAACTCCTGGAGCTTAATGGATCTGGTTGCCTTGGCCTCCCAAAGTGCTGGGATTACAGGTGTGAGCCATCGCACCCAGCACACAAAATCTTAAATAATGATACCAAAGGCAGATTTAAATGATTTTTGAGTTATCCTTTAGTTTGAACTCCACATGTTCTATTTCTTTTTATTACAAGGTATGTCTTTATGCCATAGACAAACATATAACTACAGAACTGACAATATTTTGTGTTGTTTTTCTATATCTAATATGACCTATCAATTATGATTAGCCTGTGAGATCCCTGAAAGCAAAAACTCTTTTTTTTTGAGATGCAGTCTCGCTCTGTCGCCCAGGCTGGAGTGCAGTGGCACAATCTTGGCTCACTGCAACCACCACGCCCAGCTAATTGTATTTTTAGTAGAGATGGGGTTTTGCCATGTTGGCCAGGCTGGTCTCCAACTCCTGACCTCAGGTGATCCACCCACCTCGGCCTCCCAAAGTGTTGGGATTACAGGCGTGAGCCACCACACCCAGCCAGCAAAAACTCTTTCTTCCTCTCTTTATATCTCACTCATCAGAGCCCAGCATGGTACATGATAGGTAGCAATTTAATTTCCTTGTGCTTACTTGGGTAAGATATGATGGTCGACAAGGATGAGGGTGAGTTGGCCAGCCTGGTGTAATGCATGGAGGTCAATCTCATCCCGAAAAATTAAGATACTCTCTGGAATATGAACCTTCTGAAGAAAGAAGACAATGTCACCTCGCAGAGGTAGCTCAGAACGTTTTATATTTAAAACTGGCACAAAGACTTCCTCGGCCTCAGTTGTCTAGATAGGAAAGTGAAAAGAAGGCATCATAATGTTTTACAATGACAGGAAAAAGTAACAAGACTATTGGGACCAAAAGAGACAGACTTAGGTAAGTTACCACCTTTCTCAAAGCCACAAGTACCCAGTCTATAAAAATGAAAGGATGACTTTTGCCCTCCCTCCTTAGCGATAACATGAAGGTCAACAAGGTAACTCATGGTAAAGACCTAGTTCTAGATGCAATGCTGCAGAGAGGGAATAGTCCTCAAGAACTAACCTGGGCAGAGGAATACACACTAGATCACTGATACCTATAAGGAACTCAGTAATAAACTGTTTGAATATCGCTTTATGGTTTACAAATCCCCCAAAATACATTTACTCACTTTTTTTCTCACAGCAACACTGCAAAATATCATTTTAGATTTTATAGATGGTGGCATGAGACTCAGCAAACTTAAGGGATTTAAATTTACCCAATGCTAAATGCTGGTAAGTGGCAGAGCTGGGTCTTGAATCCAGATCTTTTCATTCTAAGGGACTCAGATTCTAGGTACTACTTTGTTTTACCCACCTTTGCTAGGTAAAAAGCCAGGGCGAGAGCAGACACCACAGAGTCCAAATCACAGGCTTCATTTCCCAGCACAACATGTAGAGGTCGGGACTCCTGGAGAAGAAGGAAAATGGGAAACTAACAAAAGTATCTCTATCCATTTCCACTTACCTTTTTTTTTTTTTAAACATCTATATATATTTTTGAGACAGGTCTCACTCTGTCGCCCAGGCTAGAATGCAGTAGCGTGATCACAGCTCACTGCAGCCTCAACCTCCTGCTAGACTCAATTGATCCTCCTGCATAGCTGGAACTACAGGAAAGTGCCACCATGCCCGGCTAATTTTTTGTATTTTTTGTAGAGATGGGATTTTGCCATGTTGCACAGACTGGTCTCAAATTCCTGGGCTCAAGAGATCCACCCGCCTCGGCCTCCCAAAGTGCTGGGATAACAGGTATGAGCCACTGTGCCTGGCCTCTCCATTTACCTTATACTCATATAGGGCTTCACACACTTCCTCTCATTGATCTTCACAGAGGAGGTAGGTCCTCATTCCATAGATGGCATAAGTGTTTCAGCTAAGCTTATAGCATTCTACATATATCCAGTTTGTAGAAAAGTGTTCTTTCCTCCTATCTCCTTGAATGTTAACTTACAAAGCAGTAAATAAACTTCTGATTTCTTATCTTCTTTGGGCACTCAAATAGTCAAAAAAGGGGATTTGGGGTAGCTGATATATTCAAGGCATGCTCTTGGGCATATCAACCCTGGTTGACTATTTCTTCCCACTTTCATAATAGGGAAAAGAATGCTTACACTTCTTTTTTGAGACAGAGTTTTGCTCATTGCCCAGGCTGAAGCGCAATGGTGCGATCTCGGCTCACTGCAACCTCTGCCTCCCAGGTTCTCGTGCCTCAGCCTCACGAGTAGTTGGGATTACAGGAATGCGCTACCACACCCAGCTAATTTTGTATTTTTAGTAGAGACGGGATTTCTCCATGTTGGTCAGGCTGGTCTCCAACTCCCGACCTCAGGTGATCTGCCCGCCTCAGCCTCCCAAAGTGTTGGGATTAAAGGTGTGAGCCAGCGCACCCGGCCAGATGCTTACACTTCTAAATCATGAGAACAGGTGAAGAGGCTTTGAGAATAAAGGTTAAAAGTAAGATCTAGTCCAAGGCCGGGCGTGGTGGCTGGCCCCTGTAATCCCAGCACTTTGAGAGGCCGAGGTGGGCAGATCATCTGAGGTTAGGAGTTTGAGACCCGCCTGCCCAATATGATGAAACCCCATCTCTACTAAAAATACAAAAATTAGCCAGGGGTGGTGGTATGCGCCTGTAATCCTAGCTACTCAGGAGAATTGCTTCAACCCGGGAGACGGAGGTTGCAGTGAGCCAAGATCGTGCCTTTTGTACTCCAGCCTGGGCAACAAGAGCGAAACTCCGTCTCAAATAAATAAATAAAATAAAACATACTAAAACTAGAGTGCCCAAAATCAGGGTGACAGGGTCTTGGGTTTTGTTTTGTTTTTAAGCATTTATTGAATGTGCCAGGCATTATTCTCATATTTTTTCATGCATTAATCAATCATTTAATCCTTAACCCGATGAGGCAGGTACTTATGTCATTTCATTCCAGGTATAAGCTTTCTGCTGGGTGGAATGAGACCAGAAAGCCTATGGCTCAGCATAGGGCACAATACTTCTCTCTTACCAGCTTACTTTTTCTTTTGAGACAGGGTCTTACTTTGTTGCCCAGGCTGGAGGGCAGTGGTGCTATCTTGGCTCACGGCAACCTCTACCTCCTGGGTTCAAGTGATTCTCCTGCACCAGCCTCCTGAGTAGCTGGGAATATAGGCATGCGCCATGATGCCCGGCTAATTTTTGTATTTTTGGTAGAGATGGGGTTTTGCCATGTTGGCCAGGCTGGTCTTGAACTCCTGACCTTCAGTGATCCGCCCACCTTGGCCTCCCAAAGTGTTGGTGTGAGCCACCGTGCCCAGCCCATCAGTTTACTTTTGAACTTCTATCTCAGCCTGGTTTTGAGAGAAGATGGGATGAAACAGACAAAATGAGACACACTAAATATAGCAGGGTTTCTCAACTTCAGCATGACTGGTATTTTGGACTAGATACTTCTTTTTCATTTTTGTAACTTTTACTTTTCGAGACAGGGTCTCACTCTGTAACCCAGGCTGGAGTGTATGGCACAACCATGGCTCACTGCAGACTCCACCTCCCAGACTCAGGTGATCCTCCCACCTCAGCCTCCTGAGTAGCTGGGACTACAGGCACCCGCCACCATGCCCCACTAATTTTTTTTTTTTTGAGACAGAGTCTCATTCTGTCGCACAGACTGTAGTACAGTGGCGTGATCTTGGCTCACTGTAACCTCCACCTCCTGGGTTTAAGAGATTCTCCTGCCTCAGCCTCCTGAGTAGCTGGGATTATAGGCACGTGCTACCATGCTTGGCTAATTTTTGTATTTTTAGTAGAGACGGGGTTTCACCATGTTGGTCAGGCTGGTCCTGAACTCCTGACTTCGTGATCCACCCGCCTCAGACTCCCAAAGTGTTGGGATTACAGGTGTGAGCCACCGCACCCAGCCCTTTTTTTTTTTTTTTTTCCTTTGAGATGGAGTCTCACTCTGTCGCCCAGGCTGGAGTACAGTGGCGCAATCTGGGCTCACTGCAACCTCTGCCTCCTGGGTTCAAGTGATTCTCCCCCTTCAGCCTCCCGAGTAGCTATAGTAGACTACAGGCGTGCGCTACCACATCCAGTTAATTTTTGTTTTTTTTTTTTTTTTTTTTTTTTTGAGAGGGAGTCTGGCTCTGCCGCCCAGGCTGGAGTGCAGTGGCCGGATCTCAGCTCACTGCAAGCTCCGCCTCCCGGGTTCACGCCATTCTCCTGCCTCAGCCTCCCGAGTAGCTGGGACTACAGGCGCCCGCCACGTCGCCCGGCTAATTTTTTGTATTTTTTTAGTAGAGACGGGGTTTCACCGTGTCAGCCAGGATGGTCTCGATCTCCTGACCTCGTGATCCACCCGTCTCGGCCTCCCAAAGTGCTGGGATTACAGGCTTGAGCCACCGTGCCCGGCCTAATTTTTGTATTTTTTAGTAGAGACAGGGTTTCACCATGTTGGCCAGGCTGGTCTTGAACTCAGGTGATCCGCCCACCTCATCTTCCCCAAGTGTTGGGATTACAAGCATGAGCATTTTTGCATTTTTTGTAGAGATGGGGTTTTACCATGTTGCCCATGCTGGTCTCGAACTCCTGGGCTCAAGTGACACAGCCACCTCAACCTCCCAAAATGATTGGATTACAGGCATGAGCCACCACGCCCAGCCGGATAATTCTTTTTTTTGTGGAGGCTGTCCTGTGCATTATAGGATATTTGGCAGGATCCCTAGCCTCTACCCACATGGATGCCAGTAGCACCCTAAGTCATGACAAACAAAAATGTCTCCAGACTTGCTGAATGTTCCCTGGGGAGCAAAACTGCCCCCAGTTGAGAACTACTGGGTTACAAGAAGGTGAAAAGCCATATACTCTGACTTCGTCGGTCAGGGAAGATTTGCTAGACACAAGAGTTTAGTGCCGGGCGCGGTGGCTCAAGCCTGTAATCCCAGCACTTTGGGAGGCCGAGACGGGCGGATCACGAGGTCAGGAGATCGAGACCATCCTGGCTAACACGGTGAAACCCCTTCTCTACTAAAAAATTACAAAAAAACTAGCCGGGCGAGGTGGCGGGCGCCTGTAGTCCCAGCTACTCAGGAGGCTGAGGCAGGAGAATGGCGTAAACCCGGGAGGCGGAGCTTGCAGTGAGCTGAGATCCGGCCACTGCACTCCAGCCTGGGCGACAGAGCGAGACTCCGTCTCAAAAAAAAAAAAAAAAAGAGTTTAGCAAAGTGGGAAGGTTCAGAGGAGTAACACATAGCAAAGAACAGTTATCAACTAATGTAACTTTAGGAAAAAAAGGGAATCTAGGGAAACCTAGAATCATCTTCCCTACACAGGCTATCACTCCTTCTCTTCCCCCACTGGAAAGCCACAGCTCAGAAAGGGCAAATTGAGAAGACTTCTGGTGGTATCAATTGCCCCCTCCAGTTACAAGATAGGTTTTTGTTTTTAAACCACCCTCTTCCCCATCTCCTACTCCCATCCCTGGAGAGAAATACAGAAGACAGAGGTTATCTGTCCGGGTTCAGCCCAAAGGGCCCCTAAGGAAGTTTCCCCTGAGGTCCTCCCCATGCCTGTTTCTCTAAGTCTACTTCAAGAGTGTGGAAGCAAAGGCCCATTCACACTGAACAGCACTGGGGTAGGGGCTTTACTTTTTTCCAAAGCAATAAGAGAATTCTACCCAATACCCCAGGTCCCATAGTAACTTCTCTGACTTGTAATTCCTCCTCCTGATACCAGAGACCTCTGTTTCCTGGAGACCAAGAACTGCCCAGATGGCTATGGACCAAAGTGACAGGAAAGCACTTGAGATAAGAGTCTGCAGAAATAACTTGCTCACTGAAGCAGTTAGGGGGAGTGAGTGTTCTCTAGAGAGGAAACTATATAAACATGAGGCATATGGCCGTGACTCTGGAGGAAAAACGTAAGAGCAGCGGAGAAAAGGCAGAGCAAGCAGGAGAGATCTACTGCTGGGTCCAAAGAGACGCTGGAGAACCTTTCCACACTCATTTACATCAGTGTTGCTTCACTGCAAGCAGCGGCTGAATCAGGCTTATTTAGATCCTCACCATGAAGAGAACGCTAAGCAGAAAAGCACAAAGTAGGGACCAAATATAACGGCATGGCTCTGAAGTCAGGAGAAACTATCTCCAGAGGAAGGTGAACAATGAACCCCTTGCACTCAGCCAAACCCAGACAGCAACCAGAAGGAATGAATACAAAAGGAATACTTTGGGACTTGCAGCAAATCTTGGAACTGGGGTGACCAAGGGAGGCAGCAGCATTCCTCTCCCCTGTCAACACCCACTGTCACCCCGGCCTGACTGGACTATTCACCACCCGCAAACCATGATGTGCACATTCCCAGCTCTGCCCTTTGCACTATTCGTTCTCTGTTTGAATGCAGAACTACTAATTGAAAAGATCACAGACTTTGGGGTTGAATCCCAGCTCTGCTTCTTACTTGTTGCAGGACTTTGGACCCTCGAAGCCTCATTTTCCTCATATAAAAATGAGAATAGGCCAGGTGTCGTGGTTCACACCTATAATCCCAGCACTTTGGGAGGTTGAGGTGGGCGGATCACCTCAGGTCAGGGGTTCGAGACCAGCCTGGCAAACATGGTGAAACTAAAACACACAAAAATTAGCCGGACGTGGTGGCAGGTGCCTGTAATCTCAGCTACTCCAGAGGCTGAGGCAGGGAGAATTGCTTGAACCCGGGAAGTGGAGGCTGCAGTGAGCTGAGATCACACCATTGCACTCTAGACTGGGTAACAGTGTGAGACTCCATCTCAAAAAAACAAACAAAAAATGAGAATAATATCGTAACCAATTTCATGACGTTGTTAGGAGGATTAAATGAGATACTACCGTAAGTGCCTATGCTATAAATAGTAAAATGTGATCCTTCCCATCTTCTTTCTTTACTTCTCCCCATTGTTCAAGTCTACCTAATGTCTTTCTCTGTGAAGCCTTCCTGAACACCCAGTCCAGAGCAATCCTCTTCCTCTAAACCTCCAGCTTCTAGCACTTGTGGCTCTGAGACAGACCTTAACTTCTATCTTAAGGAGCTCCCTATCTTTTCATGGTCATGTATCCCTGATCCTTAACATGGCTTATGTGATGGGTGACTATATACTTTATTGTTCAAACTGGTACACTTATGAGAATGAAAAGGGGTGCTATTAATGATTACACAGGGGAAAACCAAGACTGCCCTGGGCAAACCGGGTGTGGGGCTGCCCAACTTATAAGACATCATTCTCTTCTTTATTTAGGAAAAAACATGTGTAACCCTTAATTCCAAGCCCATCCTCCACCAGCTGAAAGCACAAGCTAAACAACCTGTTTTCTGACCATCAGAGAAAGAGTTCAGGGAAAATACAGCTATACTTAGTAGCATGAGGAAATCTAAGCTGCCAATGGAAGAAATACCATCTGAGGGCCACAAGTAAATAAATACAAACTTTCTTTTCCTTTCTTTTTTTTTTTTTAAAGACCTACTAGTTGGCCAGGCGCGGTGGCTCACGCCTGTAATCCCAGCACTTTGGGAGGATGAGGCAGGCAGACCATGAAGTCAAGAGATTGAGACCGTCCTGGCCAACATGGTGAAACCCCGTTTCTACTAAAAATACAAAAATTAGTTGGGCATGGTGGCACATGCCTGTAGTCCCAGCTACTCGGGAGGCTGAGGCAGGAAAATCACTTGAACCTGGGAGGCAGAGGTTGCAGAGAGCTTCATGCAACTGCACTCCAGCCTGGCGACAGAGTGAGACTTCGTCTCAAAAAAAATATATATTAAATGAAAATAAATAAATGAATAAACACTCACTAGTTGAAAAGACTCTCTTATCCTGAAATGTTCTTTGTGGCCTCAAGAGGAGGGGGCAGGGAGGGGGTTCTAGGCCTGGCAAAGTAAACCACTTCCCTTCTAAAGCTGAATATGGTATGATAACTACTCTTCAGAATAGTTAATGGGGGAGAAAAATAAACGAGACAGAAAGCCAGAGAGAGACAAACCCTCTCAGCAGAGAAAATAGGAACAATACTGATGCCAGGACTACAAATTTCTTTTTTTTTTTTTGAGACGGAGTCTCGCTCTGTCACCCAGGCTGGAGTGCAGTGGCAGGATCTCGGCTCACTGCAAGCTCCACCTCCCGGGTTCACAACATTCTCCTGCCTCAGCCTCCCGAGTAGCTGGGACTACAGATGCCCGCCACCTCACCCAGCTGGTTTTTTTTTTTATTATTCTTTAGTAGAGATGGGGTTTCACCGTGTTAGCCAGGACGGTCTCGATCTCCTGACCTTGTGATCCGCCCATCTAGGCCTCCCAAAGTGCTGGGATTACAGGCTTGAGCCACCACACCCGGCCAGGACTACAAATTTCTAAGGAGAGCCAGCTTCTGATTCCTGCCTCATGCCTGAGAACTGCACACAGTACATTGTCCAAAGGCTCCAGGATGAACACCTAAAATGCAATGCAGCCCCAGCCTGAAGCAAAGATTTCTCCCCCCTAGAAGTGAAAGATGAGTCACCATAAATAGGACATTTGGTTAAATAAGATTTTTTTTTAATGGAACATCCTATTGTCTCTGTGGCAGAGGCTGTAGAAAATTTCTCTGGTATCAAATACTAAAAATACAGTAGCAACGGGAGACTTGGCTGGATTACCAGCTGTCTTTATTCTGTGCAAAGAAGAGCATTCATGATTTTCTGAAAGTTATAATTAAACTGTAGTTTAACAGGAACATTCAAACTTAAGAATGTATCTGTCTAAATCATCTCTCTCTCTTTACACAAGAAACTTAACAGGGTGTCCTCTGGAGAACTGGATGGAGAGGAGAGAAGAAAAATGATCTTTATCTTTTTCATTCCATATCCCTTTGGTATTTAAATTTATTCATAAAGTACACATTTACTACTTCTATAATTTAAAGCAATCTAGGCTGGATGTGGTGGCTCATGTCTGTAATCCCAGCACTTTGGGAGACCAAGGCAGGCAGATCACTTGAGGTCAGGAGTTCGAGACCAGCCTGGCCAACATGGTGAAACCCTGTCTCTACTAAAAATACAAAAATTATCCAGGCATGGTAGCGCAAGCTTGTAATCCCAGCTACTCAGGAGGCTGAGGCAGAAGAATCGCTTGAATTCAGGAAGTGGAGGTTGCAGTGAGCCAAGATTGCACCACTGTACTCCAGCCTGGGCGACAGTGAGAGTTCATCTCAAAAAAAAAAAAAAAAAAATTAAAGCAATCTAAATTGTTGGCATCTACCAGTATGTCTTGCCATCAGTTCACCTGTTAACCTTCCTAGAGTCTAATTTTCTCATTTCTCCAGGCCCTGGAGAGGCTATGTGATGATGAAAGCTCTAAGACACAATCTCAACTTTCACAAGTTCACAAGTTTGAAAGAAGAGCTAGATCTTGCTCCTTGGGGGATGAATGCAGGTAGAGAAAGGTCAGGATTCCAGCAATATTGGAAAAATCAAGTATTTTTCCAGCTTCATATTGCTGTAGAGAATATACTATTAGGGCTGGGTACAGTGGCTTACACCTATAATTCCAGCACTTTGGGAAGCCAAGCCAGAGGGATTGTTTGAGTCCAGGAGTTCGAGACCAGATTGGGCAGCATGGCGAGACCCTGTCTCTACAAAAATACAAAAAATTAGCCCTGCATGGTGGCACTGCCTATAGTCGCAGCTTTTTCGGGAGGCTGAGGTGGGAGGATCACTTGAGCCGGGGGGAGGATCACTTGAGCCGGGGAGGTGATCACACCATTGCACTCCAGCCAGGGCAACAGAGTGAGACCCTGGCTCAAAATAAATAAACAAATACAAAATAAAAATAGAGAATATACTGCTAACCTGGGGGTGGGGGGAGGCTCTGGAGGATATATGTTGGAGAATAGATGCATGCAAAGAAATACTATTTAGTGAGGTTTCAGGTCCAAGGGCACTTTACCACATGGTGGAAGAGACCAGTCATTTGGGTTACTGGGGGGGGGGGGAATCCAACTGTTTAGCACTTAGAATGGTGCCCCCAAAACTCTACATTAGTCCTGTGGTGGAATCAGACGTAACAAAAAGGGATTGGTTCCAAATGGCCTTATGCATTGAAATAACTCCCCAAATTTGTTTTTCACAAGGAAAATGTCTATGTAATTGGTGTTAAAATGGACCTTCTCCCCAATTCAATATGAAGACAATTCATTTATTCCAGCAGCTGAGTCTGCAGCAGGAATTAAGTGACTTTCAGGATTTGTTAAAGAACAGAATCTGTCCCCCAGGGGAATTTGTTGAGTTTCCGATATCTAAAAAGGAAAGCTCAGCAAGCCATCTGTCTAGGTTTCTTCAGGGCAATATAACTCAAAGTAGAGGGGCCGGGTGACCTCCTGGAGTCTGTCTCTGGTTAGCTTTTTGCTGCTAACTGGGGATAACAGCCTAATGCCTCATGACGGCTCAGCATGGCTGGGTGAGTCCAACTGGCTCAGAGAGCACCAAAAATAAGCCACAAAGCATTCAGTAGTCATATTTATGGTTTTGATTCTAAACACACTTTGTGCTTATCCCTTCCAAGTGGAGAATTTTTATGTAATGTGTGTGCGTTAAGGCCAAAGGAGAAACCTGGAGGCAAAGGAATGCTGGTTGTGGGTCAACAAATATGCCTGATGGATTATGTATGCTTGGTTTAAAAACACTGACTTAAAGTAAAATACCGTGACTACTTCTAACTTAGAAATGAGTTCAGCCCGCCAGACAGAAACCGCCATTCAGAGGAAATAAAGCCGTGAGCACCGGTTCCCTCCACACCCGCGAGGTTCACCTGGAGGCCAGTGGGCCAAGCGAGGCCTTGGGAGCGGAGAACTCAAAGAGGGGCGGGGAGAAAAGAATAAACACACCTCGCGGGGCTCGGCTGGCGGTCGCACAGTCCTGGTCCTTTTGACGGAACTGACCGAGATGACAGCAAGCAGAGGCTCAAATGCAGGATTCAGACCCAAGACTTCTCCCAGCTCTCGGGCGGACCCCAAAGGCGGGGAGCCAAAAACCGGGAGACTAAGCAAGCAGCATTCTCACGCTCCTAAGCTGGCTTCTCGCTCCTCGCTCCTCATGCCCCAAACCTGATCAGGCCCCAACCCCCCTCCCCACAACTCAGTGTTCCCTCCACACGGACCGTCGAGGCTCCCCAAATCCCACGTCTTCGTCCTTCCTGGACCCCGTGCTCCATTCCTTACAGTCACATACAGGGATCGGTTACCTGTAGAGCAGCTCGACAATCCTGAAGGTAGTCCTCCATGATGAAGCCCAAAGTACGCCGTCGCCCCTGGTCGAGGAGAGGTGCCCGTGGTCGAGGAGAGGTTTCCCCGGCGAATGCACCCCGCCCGGGACTCAGGGGCTAGAGGCCAGAGTCAGGAGGCGGGACTCGAACCCGCCACACGGCGAATCGGCCTCCGACCCCGGGAGGAAGTGCGTAACCGGGTGCTCCCGAGCTTGGCGTCGCCCCTCCCCCAGCGGCGGAGGCGGGGCTCTACGCCCAGAGGCTCCTGGGACGTCTTTCCGGAGAGGCCAAGTGGGTGTGGCGTGGGGCGACGTGGGAAACGTAGTCCTGCGGCTCCGCAATGTCCCTAGCTACCGAGGGAAGGAGCGTTTTCTGAGGGATCCGTTGTTTGGTAAACAAATGTGTATGTGTCACAGTAACCCATTATTGTGGCATCTGAACTTTCCCTCTCAGATCAGGCTAAGTATAACATCTTTCCATATATCACACCGAGCATCTGGTTGACATTTTAAATGACACTTGGCAAAACAGATCTTCTTTCCCGAAATTCTGCCTTTTACCAAACTGATTCAATCTCAACCAGTTTTGTGGTTGTTCATGTTAGGAGAACATTAGAATAATCTTTGACCCCTCTTGTTTACCTAACACCTACAGTCTCCTGCCAACTCCTGCTGCTTCTCCCTTTGCAACTCTGTAGCCTGTTTTTTTCCTACAGCCTCCGCAAATATCTTCTCCTTCCTTTCTTGGACGGTTGTAACCTTGACTTTTTGCTCTCTGCCACCCTAATTGTTCCAACTGCTCTTTCAGCCTTTAGAGTTGCTTGAAGTTTCATCCTGTGGCGGCCCTGTACATAGAGTTTTAGGGAACCCTTCAGAATGTAGAGTTAGGTTCCAGCCTCCCTTAACTGCCACTTTGCAGCCGCAGGGTAGTGCAAGTACTGTAAATAAATGGACACTCATCATCAAAAATTCCCTCATTTATTTATCTATCGCTTTATTTCCTACCATCAGCCTCACACCAGCTTTTCCTGCTTCCCCAGCTGTAAATCGAGAGGAGGTGACTGATGAGAGGCCTGTGGTGGAACCACGATCCAGAGCACAGGGGTGTTGGATCGCCTGCCTGCTCTGCCAGTTTTTTCTTCTTCCTCTTCTTCTTCAGACGGAGTCTTGCTCTGTCATCAGGCTGGAGTGCAGTGGCAGGATGTTGGCTCACTGCAACCTCTGCCTCCCGGGTTCAAGTGATTCTCCTGCCTCAGCCTCCCGAGTAGCTGGGGCTACAGGTGCGTGCCACCACGCCCTGCTAATTTTTGTATTTTTAGTAGAGATGGGGTTTCACTATGTTGGCCAGGTTGGTCTTAATCTCTTGACCTCGTGATTTGCCCGCCTCAGCTTCCCAAAGTGCTGGGATTACAGGCGTCAGCCATCGCGCCCAGAGCCTGGGGCTTCTTCCACACCCTCTGCACTCTACCAGGTGCACAACCCAACCAGTTTCATTTCTAGACTTAAAAATGATACAGCAAGGACTTGGAAAGGACCTCTATGGAGGGATCCAGAGGGAAAAGAGCTGGGTTTGTTTGTTTGTTTTTAACATTAACTGAGTAATATATGCAAATATCATGCTCTTTGGTCCTGCTTCTGTGGATCGAGAGCAAAGGACTGCCATACCCAGAGAGACAGCCCAGATCCAACAAGCTGCTTCTGTCCAGCCCTGCTCCTCCCCACTCAGCAAGGGCACTTGCTCTTCCCTATTCTCACCAGAGAGGCACAAGCGCTCCGTCCCTTCCAGAGGCAGGCGGAGGGAAGAGAAAGGGTCTGTTGTTTTTCTCTCCTGTTTCTTGCTCCCTCTCTGCTGATCACAAAGCTGCTGACCGGGTCAGAAAGCCCTGATGGAAATCCACCAGCGCTGGGCAGGCCCCTCCTCCTCCAGGGAGCTTGTCCTTGCCTAATTTTTCTTCGTCCCGATGAGAACAAAAAAGAGAGAGAGAGAAGAAAAGAAAAACCACAAACTTCCTTTGAAAACCAGCTTGTAGTCAGGGCCTGGAGCGCATGCCCTAGACTCGGCGACTCAGGAATCCTGAAGACTCTCTGAGTGACCTGGAGCACCTGGGCTCCGCCCCTGCCTGCCTTCACCCTCTCCAGTGCCCCCAGTACTGGGCGTGAGTCCGGAAGTGGCCACAACCAAGCCTGTACCGTCGCTCGCAAAGCTGTGTAAACCTGTATAAGCTCAGGCGTTGACAGCTGGAAGGCAGCTGGCACTGGCAGACCCCCTCATTGCACCTATCTTCCCCATCGCATTGCCACAGCTGAACCCTCCTTCTCAATCTTGGAACAGCACCCACTTCTTTAAGGTAAAAACTTTATTTTAATAATCTTCTTCACTTCTTCTCCCACCCCTCTCCATTTCCTCTCCAGCTCTGGGGAGCTGACACCTGCTGTCCTTCCACCTTTGGTCTACAAGTCTGGATTGCTTAGAGGAGCTAAGTCAGGAGAGATATGTAAAGGGGATGCTGCTTGGTCCTCCTCCTTTTAATGAAAGCACGAAACCCTCCCCCTCTCCTTATGAGCAAGTAGACAGGGCACTGTGGCCATGGTTGACATATTCTGAGATGAAAATCTAAACTATTGATTGCATGAAGACGTAGGTCAGACTGAGAAAGAGATTGGTGTGGGACAGTAAGGGAATTGTTCCTACGGAGAGGAAGAGTGTCTTCTTGAAGTTACATACCTGTTTTACATGCTTCTTCCAACTTTTGACTCTGTACTGCCATTGATTAGGGAGGAGCCAGGGTTATTTTAATTCCCTCACCCACCACCATAATTCCAGCTGGAGAAGAAGTGTAGGACTTGAGGAGCTGAGAAAGAGGAGGAGGAGAATGAAACTTTGATTTGTCTGACTATCCTCTCTCTCATTCTTTCCTACTCTGAGATACTCCATGCCCTCCCCAGCAGGATTGGACCTCGTAGAGTAGAAACCTTCCATTACATTTCCTGCCCCTGCCTCTTAAGACTTAGCCCATTTAGCTCTGCCCAGTTCCTCTGAGACCCCACTCCCTCAGGTGTTCCTGGGTTCCTTTGGCTCACCTCTCCAGCCAGCTAGCTGCCCAACCCCACTTCATCATTGATCATTTCTGGCACTGGACAGAAAATATAAAAACTGAAGCCTGCTTTTCTTTTTTCTTTTTTTTTTTTTTCTGAGACAGAGTCTAACTCTTGTCACGCAGGCTGGAGTGCAGTGGCACAATGTTGGCTTACTGCCATCTCCACCTCCGGGGTTCAAGCAATTCTCCTGTCTCAGCCTCCTGAGTAGCTGGGATTACAGGCACCCGCCACCACGCCTGGCTAATTTTTGTAGTTTTAGTGGAGACGGGGTTTCACCATGTTAGCCAGGCTGGTCTTGAACTCCTGACCTCAGGTGATCCACCCGCCTTGGCCTCCCAAAGTGCTGGGATACAGGTGTGAGCCACTGTGCCCAGCCGAGGGCTGCTTTTCTTCAAGCTTTTTTACTTTTCCAGGCTCTGGCATCTGCTTTGAGGTTCACCCTAAGTGTTATTTAAGGGGAGAAGAAAAGGAGAGAGAGAAAGAGAGAGAAAAAAAGTGTAAGGCCTGCAGGCAGTTTTTGCTACTCTGATTCTAAATTAACAACAAGTAAATGATATGCAGCTAGCATAAACATACGTGAATCAAGGGGATAATCAATTTGAGTGACTAGGCTTATTCTATTTCAGTAACTTTAATGTTCCTCAACCTCATCTCCCAGGCCTTCTCCTAGCCCCAAATTCATGTAGGTTTACAAGAAGGAAGCAGTCTCAGGTTGGGAGGAGGATGGGGAAAAGACAAGATTTCTAACTAGTTTAATTTATTTTATTTTGTTTTATTTTATTTTTGAGATGGAGTTTCGCTCTGTCGTCCAGGCTGTAGTGCAGTGTCACAATCTCAGCTCACTGCAACCTCCGCCTCCTGGGTTCAAGCAATTCTCCCATCTAAGCCTCCTGAGCAGCTGGGACACAGGCACGCGCCAACACACCTGGCTAATTTTTGTATTTTCAATACAGAGAGGGTTTCGCCATGTTGGCCAGGATGGTCTCGATCTCCTGATCTCAAGTAATTTGCCCGCCTCAGCCTCCCAAAATGCTGGGATTACAGGTGTGAGCCACCGTGCCTGGTCCCTAACTAGTTTAATTTCTCCCTGTTTCTCTCCTTGATAAAGAGTGGGAGGGGAGCAAGGAGATTAAAGGGAGATGTTTTCCAAAGGGCAGGATTTGTGGTTTTTTATTATTTATACCCACAGCATTAGTTAAATGTCTATCTGTACTTGCCTCAGTGTGCCTCTAGTGCTGATAGAGAGCAGGTTAAACAGGTCCAGTGTTCACATCTAAAACGACCTGGATAGGATTGGGTGTGGTGGCTCATGCCTGTAATCCCAGCACTTTGGGAGGCCGAGGTGGGAGGATCACCTGAGGTCAGAAGTTTGAGACCAACCTGGCGAACATGGAGAAAACCCGTCTCTACTAAAAAATACAAAATTAGCCGGACATGGTGGTGCATGCCTGTAATCCCAGCTACTCGGGAGGCTGAGGCAGGAGAATCACTTGCACCCAGGAGGCAGAGGTTGCGGTGAGCTGAGATTGAGCCACTGCACTCCAGCCTGGGCAACAAGTGCAAAACTCCGTCTCAAAAAAATAAAGATAAATAAATAAAACCACTTGGATGGGAATAGACATAAAACTTCAGGTAGGTGAATGTAGAGGGAGTATTGTTAAGTAAATTAATAATCAGCATTTTCATATTTCATAGAAATAGCAGGCAAGAGAGTATCTCTGGGTTTAGGCAGTTTCTGGAAGAAAAAAAAAATGAACTGAGGAAAAGTTGCTGTCTCAACTCTAGCTGTCAAGAGATGCTTCCTGGGTCCAGGCACCGTGGCTCATGCCTATAATCCCAGTCCTTTGACAGGCTGAGGAGGGCGGATTACTTGGGGCCCCAGGAGTTGAGACCAGCCTGGGCAACAAAGCAAGACCCTGTCTCAATTTAATTAAAATAAATTTGAATATCTTTATTAATTTTTTTTTTAAAGAGAAGCTTACTGGAAGAACTTGTGGGGAGTGCTTTTTGTGCCCCTAATCTGAAGTCACTTATTAAAACCAGTCTCTGATTCCAGTCACCCCCCTACCTACATTTCCCCTCCCAGCTTACAGGAAACCCCTCCCAAGGCCTTTATACTGTGGTCTCGTATTGCGTATGGTTCGGAAGAGCCCTTTGAGGAGGAAGACTTCCCCTTCCTCACCAGCATTTCGCCTTTAGGGGCATGACACTGACTCTGTGCCTCCTCCATTCTTCACCCCAAGCACTATGTGACTGTTAATCTTTTTATCCTTGGGTGAGGCAGAGAGAAGGTATCCCTAAAAATACAAGCAGCCTGTGTATGCTTAGTATGTTGTGTGAAGGGGCAGGGTGTGGGGTAGGGCAGAGGAATTATCCCTGTGAGGGAATATGGCTATGAGGCGGTTACTGATGTGATGCCTATTAGAGTAAGCTAAAGATCATCATATTAATAACCATTAGCGTAGATTTAACATTTCTTTCTCCACCTCTTTTCCTTCTTTCTCCTTTGTGCTCTCCCTTTCTCTCTGTCTTTTCTTCCTTCCCTGTCACGATCTGTTTCAGGGAAGCTGACTCCACCCATGTCTTCAATCCCACCAGTCTTCCTTCCGCCCTGTGCCCTCTTGGTCTCATCTGGTCACAGCAAGTTAGAGGTGGAAAGAGCTTAGCACAGGACCCTTCTGTTTACACATATACTGCCCCTAGCCAGGAGTGACTGCACAAACACTAACCAGCCTTCTACACTACATTCCT